AAGATGGTTGGCAAGGGACGTAGCTGGTGGCTGCCAAGAAGAGCTCCAGCGTGATGCATTCTATGTGCATGCACTGGTGGAAGCAACATTGTACTCTACGACATTGTGTATTGCAGTTGCAACGTTTAGGGTAGTAGCAACAGAAGCGAGAACAGAGGATTATTACTGTTGTATTGGTGGTTGGGAAGCGGGAATGGGGCTTTTCACCATGAAGTGACTGCAAGGTTATCAATTCTTGGGGTGGTTCGATCACTTGCTTTCAATGCTTTGTTCCAAATGCGTGGTGGTCACGTGAGTCCATTGATGTGTAAATTTTCTCCAGAGCGATTTCCTTGACGCTTACCTACTGGCGAGATAAGCTGGGCTTTGCTGTTGCAGTTGATGGGGTGTGTGTGAGCATCTCCCCAGTGCTCATCCGTGAGGCGGAGGGAGTGGATGAGCGGAGGAGTGAAGGACGTGCATGGCAAGTTATCAGTGCAACAAATGGTGATTGTCATTGCTTATGTGGAAGCACTGGCCAGAATGACATGGTTTTGGTGAATGGTTTGTACGACTTGGGGGTTGACCTTGTTTCGCTACTTGGTGTATGGTGGAGGGTCGGTGGTGAATGCAAAGGGCCCTGATGATGAGTTGGAGCGCATGATTGGAGAGTTGTCCCAAGTCTGGTGCTTATGGTGGAAGGTCGGTGGTAAATGCAAAAGGCCCAGATGATGAGTTGGAGCACATGAGGATGTGGTAGTTGTACTTGCATGCATTTACTGTTCGCACATGGCAATTTGCAAAAGAGGTGTCTTTCTGGTCAGGCTGTGCCGCTCAGTCAAGGAACACGTGGAAGCCCGCATCACTCTCCACTGACTGTCTAGATGAATCCAAGATCGGATACGAGACTGACTAGGCCCTTTGTAAATAAGAAAGAGGCAGAGCTGACGGATCTCCAAGAAACAAACAAATGTGAAGGCAAGGCCTTCGTTTGGATCTCTAATGACTTGATTTGACATATGGCTAAACTTCTTTCTGTAAAAACCCGCTCCACAGAATGGAAGTTTCATTTTGGGTTTTAGCTGAAGTGACAAGAGTCACATGAAACCCACGAACGTGTTCAAAAATTTCAAAATGATTTTGTATTTCTGGGAATAAGCGTAACAAATTCATTTTAATGGTTAAATGAATAGAATTTTTGTGTATTTTGACAGGGTAGTTATGAAAAGAGATCTCTGTGACAAGTTTTTCCAAAAAATTGTACATGCTACGTCCTCGTAGGGTGCTTTGACCTTTTTGCAGTGCTTCGCGCCTTGGCGTACTCTGTGATGTTAGATAATTCTTTTGAGTCTTTCTAAAATTAATTCTCGAAGGGTTGGGCCCCAGCCTGACCACCTATGCACGGGGAGTGGGAAATGAGGGAGGCAAGAGGTGCATAAGTGTCGACTGTATGCTCAATTCCGATAAATAATTCTTAACTTCCACGTGTCATAGACGGTTCTGGGGCTCACGTCATCTACATCTGTTGGGTTAGCAGATTTTTTACACCCAACCAGGTGCTAATTGATGGCATGTTGTCGGTCTTGTGAGTCTCTGCAATGACCCGCATAAGATCAGTCTGAGATTTATGCTGTACTAATTGTGTGCTTGCCTTTTGTTTTCTGTGTCCCAGGAGGGGGGTAGATTAGAAATAAGAGAACTCCAGGGACAAGACTGAGATTGGATGTCCACTAGGTTTAAAAGGACCTGATAGCTTCCAAAAGGTCATGAGTAGTCAAGTCCTGTACCTGGATATCAGGTATAGAGACTCGCAATGACACGCATAAGATCAGTCTGAGATTTATGCAGTACTAATTGTGTGGCTTGCCTTGTGTTTTCTGTGTTCCAGGAGGGGGGTAGATTAGAAATATGGGAACTGCAGGGGCAAGACTGAGATTGGATGTCTGCTAGGATTAGGACCTGCTAGCTTCCAAAAGGTCACTAGTATTCGAGGCCTGTACCTGGATATCAGGTATAGATTGGATTCAGGCCCTGAAGTAGACTCACAGGCTTCCAAAAGGTCACGAGTAGTCAAGGCCTGTATCTGGATATCAGGTATAGAGACTCACAATGACCCGCATAAGATCAGTCTGAGATTTATGCAGTACTAATTGTGTTCTTGCCTTGTGTTTTCTGTGTTCCACGAGGGGGGTAGATTTAGAAATATGGGAACTGCAGGGACAAGACTGAGATTGTATGTTCGCTAGGCTTAACCCTGATAGCTTCCAAAAGGTCGCGAGTAGTCAAGGCCTGTAGTAGACTTGCAGGCTGCAATGGTGTTCACGATGAAAAGCCAGGAATCTCCTGTGGGCATGGCACACTGGAGAGGCAGTAGCTACCCTGGTCAAAAGAGGCTGAAGGGTGAGTTACAAGAGTATCGTTCGGGGACAATGAGTGAAGAGGTATCTTACTGGGCAGTCATGCTGCTGCGTTGTCCAGAGGGTGAAGGTAGACAGAATTCCTGCGGAGTATATGGTTCTTCCTCTTCTAAATTCTAATGCCATTTTAGTACTGTACCAATAAATGCTGCAACTGCAATCTCCATGAATAGGTTGCCTTAGGATAGGAGGGTGGTGCCTATACCAGACAAGAAGTTTAACTGTAAACAAGATATTGTCTATACTTCAAGCTCGTCCGGGCGGGGCCAAAGGAACAACCCTTACCGCGTTCCACTCTAATGGAAAGCCATATCAACGCACGGCTGCAGTCTGCGGCTGCAAAAGATGGGCACAGCAAGGACACAAGTATTCTGATTGGCTTGCGCTGCCATCATGGAATTGATGAGAGCCCAGTGGGAAGATGTGTTTGCAGTCCCAAAGGCTCACAAATAGATTCAGAAATTGGGTCTGTCCACTTGGGCAGGCAGCACACAAGGATTGTCCCAGCGAGTAGCTGTCTACTTTTTCCAACCCCTGGGCTGGGAGATAAGAAAATGTCATTGTCGGCTGCAGCCCCTTCAAATTTGATTTGCCATCTTGACATTACTAAGTGTGAAGATTGGGAAGCCTTGATGACAGATCTGAAAACAATGGAAGCAATAGATTAGACTTATTCCGTAGTGGTAGGGGCCAAAATATCCCTTGTTCCCTGATATGATCTGTTGGTGGCCAGTGTCTTGTGGTATATTGCTCAATGGAGGAAGGTGGAGACACTTGGTCCGAAGAAAACTCAGACCTGAGCTAGGGAGGAGAATATGGAGCTAGGGAGGACGAAGAGAAGGAGAAGAGGAGCACAGAGTAGTCGAGAGGTGCAGAGTGGAGACCGACACAAGGTCTCGACTAGTGAGCATGTTAGTGGAAGCAAAGGCCATGGTTGATGTTGTGATTTTGCTGTTTTGCTGTCTTGCTGTTTTGTTTTGGTGTCTGTGTTTCTGCTCCTCCGCCTCATCCCTCCCCATCACCATCTGCTCCTCATTCTCCTCCACTGCCACCTCCTTCATTGTCTCCCCCTTTAACCCCTCCTAACCCTTATTGTCCTCTGTGTATTTGTCACAAGTGAAGTGTGAGAGTGCCTGGGGAATGACATCACATACCTCTCTTGTGTTTCAGAATGCTGGATGGCTGGCTTCTCTTCATCCTCGTTCTCCTGTTCCTCCACATCTGGCGTGTGGTCCGAGCACCAGTCTTGCCCTCGAGTCGCCTCTACACGTCCCCTCTGCACTGGTCATTCCTGATTCCAGCACCCTCTACCCCTTTGCTTCTCCTTCAGGATCATGAAGAGAGTTTGTCACCAATCTTTCTCGCGGTTCCATCACAGTGCTGTTTCTGTTTTCCCAAAATACTGTGCAAGGTGGACATATGAAGGGGGAGGAGGCTGCACCACCCTTTTTCACAAGCCGTTGTGGCCTGCTCCTTTCTGCATTACACAATGATGACTCACTCGAAGAGGAAGGAACCTGTGCGTTTCTTTTATTTGTTTCTTCTGTGTCTTTTCTTTTCACCCTCCAAATGCCCTAGTGAACGTGTAACTGGCATCACCATGCTTCTTTCCCAATGTCGGCATCTGTGCCTTGGTTGTTTTGCTCATCATAATCTCTTCCCCCTACTACGAGCATTGTCAAGGAGGAATGAGATGGATCGGAGGAGGATGAGTATAACGCAGGGTCTCAGCAGAGAGGAGTGCAGCCAACGAAGGAAGAGGAAGAGGAAGAGGAGGATGCAGAAGAGGCAGTGGGCAGAAGGATGAAGCCGAATATGTTGCCAATTTGCTGAATTGGTAGAGAGGGTTGGGGTTGATGTCGAAAGATGAGGAATGTGGGAGAGGGAGGAAGAGGAACAGGACATGGGGACGTGACTGCAAATCCACCTCGTCACTCCCTCATCCAATGATGAAGAGGATGAGGAAGAGAGGGGGGGGAAAGAAGGACAAGGGGAAGGTGGTGGCAGCATGACTGAAAGATGGAGAGAGAGGTGGGGATGTGTGTGCAAGCACATACAAGCATGAATTCGAACTCTGTTTGGTTTGTGTTGTATCTTTTCACGGTGACAGTATTGCCATATGTGCATATGTACATTACTGTGTACGTTGAATTGTGAGCTGTAGTGGTTGTGATGAGAGCCGGATTCTGATATTTAGAATTCGAAACAAGTAACAAGACACAGCAACCAGAACGGGAACAAGGGCACAAAGAACAGGGAATGGAAGAAGCGAAGCCGTAACGAAATAGAGGACAACAACGAAACAGAAAGGTTGCACTTTCCTCTGACAGGCAGAGGACAGAAATGAGGGAGAAAAAGATGGGGGATGAAAAAAAGAAGCAAAAAGTGCGGAGACTGTTGGTGTAATTGTTGGAATAATCCTGATTGATTGGTGGATTGGTTCATGGAGTGATCGATTGAGCGATTGTATTAGGTTGTCAAACATGGCTTGCGTAATGCCTTCATTTCGTTTTGTTCGTTTTGTTTGTTTTGTTTTTTGTGTTCTCGTACAGACCCCACAGCAGGCTAAACGTGATTGTATGAATTGCACATGGTGCGTTTCAGGCTGGATGCAGTACTTTTTGATAAAGATCAAGGAAGGGCAGAGTCGTCGCATCACCTGCATGGATTTCATTCGGCGCCCTGTCCAGTCTCGTGACAACTCTTCAAGCGGTGATGACAAAGGTGGCGGAGTGGTGGAGACCGAAGAGGTAAAGTGCAATGCCATCTGTGACGAGGAGCACGTGCGGAGACTCGTTGGCGCTGTGGACAGGGACATGTTGGAACGCTATGAGCGGTCATTGTTGGAGTCTTATATTGAAGACAATAACAAAGTCAAATGGTGCCCGAGCGTTCCACACTGTGGAAATGCGATACAAGTCGATGGGGAGCCGTACTGCGAGCTGGAGTGTGTGTGTGGGCGTCGCTTCTGTTTCAACTGTCTTGCAGACCCTCACTCTCCGTCATCGTGCTATATGTGGGCGCTGTGGGAGCGGAAATGCAAAGATGAATCCGAAACACTTAATTGGATGCACGCAAACACCAAAACTTGCCCCAAGTGCCAAAAACCGGTAGAGAAAAACGGAGGGTGCAATCTTGTTACCTGCGTCTGCGGTCAGGCCTTCTGGTAAGTGGATACACTGTTCCCTCACCTTCTGATGCTATCAACTCCAAGGAGCAAATAGCGATAGGATCTTTCAAATAGTCAAAGAAGTCTCACACCGTAAATTTTTCTGAACGCTGGTCCCTCACTTTCTGATGCTCTCAACTGGGAAGAGAAGCTGACAAACAGCTTCGCTTCGCGTCTTCCGACTCTTAATTGTCCTGAATCAATAGCAAAGGAGCAAAAAGTGATAGCATATTTCAAATAGACAAAGAAGTCTCACGCCAAGAGGCAGGGCCCATGGGTGCCATGTTTGTGCTAATGGCGCAGGTATTGTTCCATTTTTAGCACAGGCAACATGCTTTGATGGAAGGATGGGAAAATGCCCGTGTGCTGAATGTGACTGGCCTATGAAACACCCGCGGACGGGGTCGACCTCGGAGGGCGGCCGTATATACGGCCGCATCCGCGGCCGACCTTGTCCGCGCCGCGGACGTGAATTTGCCACATTTTTCCTGAATTAAATGGTGGGTAAAAAAAAAAAATTATGGGGTTCTAGGGATTCTTAATCCCTACAACCCCATTTTTTTTTTTTTTGGAAACAGATAAATTATAAAAAATAAAAAACAGAAAAGGTGGAGAAGAGAAATTGAAAAATAAATTAAAAAAAAAGTTGTTTTTTGGGGGGGGGATTTTTGGTTGGCAGTT